TAAGTTGATGGTAGAGGCAGGCCTCAAATATGTCTTGTCTGATTTCAAAATAAGTCCTGGTTTCTTACACTAATACAGCCCAGCAGTGCATGATATTTGAGGTTAAAAGAATAGCAAACAAAGCATTGCCAGGCATGCTTCCTTCTTCTGACCTTTTCTGGGAGAAAGCTTAAAAAAAGAGGCAGCAAACAGGTGGAGACTCATGGAAGTTCAATCCATGAGCTGAAGATTGGCTTCATTTCATTCCATTCCATCTTTAGGTTCGGTGACATCCTGCAATTCTGTCTTGGGTTGTTCCAGACAAATGTGCCACAAGGATATGTACTGGTGTTTAAATGCACCAGGTGAGTGTCATTAAAAGCAGTTTGTCATTGCCCAGGCCAGGATCTGCCATAGTGCAGACCACCATCCCTGAGAAAGAAGAGCTCCATGTGTGTTCGTAACATCCCCTGAGGCTGAGGCTGGGCCTCCCAGCTCTACACACATGAATGTCATCAGAATCTTCTTTACTTCATATATGTATAACTGATTTCAGAGAGGAAGGGAGAAGGAGAGATAGAAACATCAATGATGAGAGAGAATCATTGATTGGCTGCCTCCTGCATGCCCCCTACCGGAGATCAAGCCCCCAAATGGGGCATATGCACTGACCAGGAATCGAACCGTGACCTTCTGGTTCATAAGTTGATGCTCAACCACTGAGCCACACCGGCTGGGCTGAATCTTTTTTATTTCTGTCTCTGAAGTTCTAACTAAGGATATACCTCTTTTCCATTCTCCTCTTTCCTACACTTCTCTCTCCCTTCTAAATTCAGCTGACCTGGAAAGCGGGACCAGGGTTGTCTCAACAATAACTTGATGGTTATGCAGAAACTGAGATTCAGAATGGCCAAGTAACATGTCCAGTATCACATAGCTGGTAGGGTTCAAACCTAGAACTATTTACAGTTGTTCAGATGGAAAATAATATAGTAATCTATATATATAAAAAGCCAGTGACCGTAACACCGTAAGGACC